ATATAAATGGAATAAGATAATATGTAGTCCTTTATGTCTGACTTGTTTGGTTCAGTATAATGTTTTTCAAATTAATCTATGCGTTGCATATATCAATAGTTTGAACTTCATGTTGAGTAGTACTCCATTGTATGAATATCCTATAGTTTGTTTACCCACTCCCCTACTGATAGATACTTGGGTTGTTCCCTTTTTACTGTTCTAGCAGATGTGGAATGGTATCTTGTTTTTAGTTTGCATTTCTATATGTTGGGCATTTTTTTCATAAGCTCTTTCCCTGTCTTCTTTTGTAAAATATTTTGTCATATCTTTTTCCCATTTTAAAAATCATACTGTTAGCTTTATTGAATTGTAAGGGTTCTTAATGTATTCTAGATAAAAATCCTTCTGTCAGGTATATATTTCATGGTGGATATTTTGGTAAAAACAAGTGTAAGAATACAGGAAGATAAATACCAAATGATTATCTCTAGGTTTGGGGATTATGATGACTTTTATTTCTTTCTTTTGGACTATTTTTTGATTTTTTCACATTTAGTATACCATTTCTGTAATTTTAAAAATTAGTTTAAAACCTTCTGAAGGAAAATAGAAAGTATTTCAGCTAGAGAAGAGTAAGAGTACAAGATCAGGAGAGAGTATTTTCTTTTTAAAAAGATTAGAACATTTTTATAACACAGTGGAAATGAGCCAGTATGATATAAGAATAGCATTTTAATTCCTTAGGCCTTTGTAGAAGTAGCTGATATTGTATGTTGACACTGAAGTAGGCAATGACTGGATTAATAGAGGAAGGAAACACTTAACAAAAGTCAAAATTTCTTTATGAGGAAATATTTCTCAGAGATGTTTAGGAACTGAGTTAAAAGTAAAAATAGGGAAAAAAGTACATAAAATTATTGAGTTGACTTGGTACATTTTGTACATCTTGGTACATTTTTAATCCAAAATTTTCTTTCTGACTCAGAATTACTTTCTCCAGCTATCAAAAAAAATGATATATGATCCGGGACTATAAATTTCATCTTAACCTAAATTTGATATGTATTTTTTAATCCAGTTTTTAAAATTAGCATTTAATTATTCACAGTTTTTGATTACTGCACTTGTTCATTAGTAAAACTTTAATTGAATTTTTGAAGAAAAAGATAATTTCTGTGCCCTGTTTTTTTACATGTAGAACTTTACATTTAGAAACATGTTTTTCTAAGTACCAAAACCAAAGGCCAGGCTAGTTTTGATATTGTCATTGTTTTGATCTGCTTGTTGTGGTCAAATTAGTTATTCCCCAAATTATCATCTCTTAGGTTTGATAGGGGAATTAATTACTAAAAAAACAATGTAATAGCTATAAGAGGTATTAGAAAATTGCTGGATGCCTGTTTTTGTCTTGATTTACTTTTATAAAAAATTCTACAGTATATTAATTTACTTATATGTTTTCATTCATGGTGATAGTTTTGCTTTTGTTAATCTGCATTGTTGCAAAGTGCCCTTTTTCATATTTGAGTTAGGAAATATAAAAAGGAACAAAGTCAGAGTTATTGACAGTGAGAACATACATAGAATAATTTGGGGGGAAAAATAGTCCACAGAGCAGATCTGTACCTTTAAATATTTATGGTAGAAGAAAATACTGAAAATATTTAATGATAATAAATGAACTAAACACATAGTTCAAGTGATTAGAAATTGAAAAGGGAAATAAAGCAGAAGAAAGGAATTAAATTATTTAAATGGAAAGAACAATAGATTTTAGATTTTTAAGCTGATTTTTTGAAAAGCAAAAGAATATAGAGAAATCTTTGACAAGTTAGATGAAAAAATACTAATAACATTAGGAAAGAAAAAGAAGCATGAATGCAGACACAGGAGAGTAAAGAATTATAACATAGTTACAGCTTTATGTCACTAAATGTGAAAATGCTGCCACGTGGGTGGTTTTTGTAAGAAAATACAAAACTGCCGGAAGTGACCTCAAAAAAGATAGCCCACAAAAGTAGTAACTATGGATAAAGTTGAAAGTGAGGCATCCACCCCTAAAATACCTACCAGGCCCTGATGATTTTATGTACAAACTTTATCAAAACATTAAGGAACGTATAATTCTTACGTTAAATAAATTGTTTTAGCATATAAGTGTAGACTGTTTCCCAACTCATTGTATTAGGATAATATAACCTAGATACTAAAAACAGTAGTCTAGTGTACATGACTATACTTACCAAGTAGAAGCCAATCCAGTTTATGAATATTAATATTTTTAAAATATGAATAACGTCTATGTTCTAACAAACAAAATATGAATTACTATGTGCTAGGTAACTATGTTAAGCAGTTTATGTGGATTATCTTAATCTTCTGAGAACTTTACATAATAGATGCCATTCTGCAGATGAGGAAACAAAGGCAAAAAACAGTTCGTCATAATCAAGTGGAGTTTATCGTAGGAGCGCAAGAATTGTTTGACTTTGGGAAAATTTTTAATGTAATTCACTATACTATGGTGGTTGTTCCATTATTGTCATATAAATTTATCTTGTTAGTCTGTAGCTCTTTAAAATGTCATCTCTAACTTAAAATGTAGTTATGTAAAATACGATTTAAAAACTATAAAATAGCAATATAACTTTTATTGATTGATTTTAGTGGAGGTTATGGGGATTGAACCCAGGACCTCAGGCATGCTAAGCACTCACTCTACCACTGAACTATGCCCTCCCCCCAGCAACATAACCATTAGAACAGTTTTTCCCTTAAGTTACCATTATTAGTCTATTTTATAGTATGTTTGCAGAAATTTTCAAGAAGAAACTATCTTATTCATAGGCATAAATAAAGAATGCTTTTGTTAATCATGATAACAAGATTGAAAACTCTATGAGGAAAAATACATTGTTAAATTATAATTCTCTTTAGTGCTTTTTTTCTTACAAGTAGTTTTTACAATTTTAGTTTTTACAATTTAAAATCGTACTTTCAAAAAAAAAAAATACCCGTATGGTGATATTTTCTGTAACCTAGGAAGAATAACCTTTGTTTCGTAGGTACAAACTGTATTGAAGCCACTCCATCAGAAGGAAGGGCAAGAATTAACTGCTTTGCTGAATGCTCCACATATTCAGGTACAAAATGGGCAGAGTATTATATATGCGGTTTTTCCAGCATTCAGAATCAGTTTGAGTTAGAGTTTCTTAGGGCTAAAAGAGACCTCAAATATTATATAGCCTGTTTTGCTTATTTATAACTCTCACTTAAAAATAATTATTTTCACATTTAAAATTATCCACATTATTTTTGAAACAACTTCTTATTCTTTACAGATTCCTTCCTTTTTTTGGTTATATTTTCCATAAATTTTAATCATCTATGGTGTTGGGCCCTTAAAGTGATTTTGTTTTTATATAGTTTAATAAGTTTAATTTTAGACTTCCAACCCCATCCCAGAGTACTCCCTGTAATACTTAATACATCTTTAGTTATTACCTATAAAAGATACAGGGTTACATCTGTACTTCAATTGGAAAGTTTGGAAACAGATCTGAATATATAATTATAGCACACACAAAAGATTTAATGAGCAGAATATGTATGTGAGTAGGTTAAAAATCTCTCTACAGAAATAAAATCATGCTTTTACTTTGAAGTGCTGTGGGTTTCTTTGAAAACAGGCACTTTTGCTGGCCCATGATAAGGTTGCTGAGCAGGAAATGCAGCTGGAGCCCATTACAGATGAGAGAGTTTATGAAAGCATTGGCCAATATGGAGGAGAAACTGTAAAAATAGTTCGTATAGAAAAGTCTCGAGATATTCCATTGGTAAGTGTTCTGCATCTCTGATAGGATATCCTTTCTGCACAGAGATCTTGTGTGTGACACACAGTTGAAGACACTTTACATTTCTGGTAGTTTTTCTTTTTTCATGTTAGGTTTTTAGAATTATTTTTATGTTGTTGTTCATACTCCTTATTCAGTTGAGAAAAAGTTGTTCATCATCTTTTCTCAACCATAATTTGATGAAAATAGCTTGTGAAGTAGTTGTTGAACAAAGAAGGGACATTAATCTGCTTCATTATTCTCCCAGCTTTAAAAAAAAAACAATAAATTAGAAATTCTGATCTTTTCATTCATTACAGTTATATACTTTATATATACAGAAGTATGCATTGTTTAATGTTAATATTTTATAGTTTTTATATATAAAACTTTTTGCTCTTTCTTAGTATACTATCATTGCCTCAATTTTCTTTCATTTTAGAGAAATATTCTTGAATCCTGAGGTCTCAAATTATGTCTTGTATAGTGTGGTACATGTAATAGGGACTGCATTTTATTAAGAGAAGTTTATGTAACTAGGTTTTTTCCACCTCCAGAAAAAAGAAATTGGAAAAATTTTAAATTATGACAGAATTTTAAAATAAAAGTTCAGGAGAAGAGTGTTACAGACTATCCCCTTTCAAGCTTTTTTCTGTATTTCATATTTCCATTTTTTGAGTGTATGTATTTCAGCTGTGCTTCTAATTTGTGTAATAAATATTAATGTTTAATACAGTTTTGATGTGAATTGGACACAGCTATAGTATTTAACATTTTAAAAATTTACCAGACTAGTATTCATCCCTGCATCATTATTTTGAATTTAAAAATACTTTTATAGTTATGTCCAGTTCACTAATTATGCTTATAGTATAACCATTTGAATAGCTTCCAGCATGAGAACAAATTTGATTATAGGCTTTCACATTGTTTTTGAGCCAAGTACATTTTTATGCTGTTGTGCGCTTCAAAAGTCTGATTTTAGAATTTTAACAAACAGAATACTTCTGAAGCAAAAAATGTAGGGGAAATGGTCAGCTGTCAAACCAAATTGCCATGATTACTCTAGCTGTGTAAGTGAATTTTTTTCTAAGCATAACTGAAGGCTAGTATTGTTGAATAGAAAAAAAACAATTTAAAAATGAGGAAATGTTTAACAAAAAATCCATTTTTATTTTAAAATTAGATATTGAATTTTTTTAGGGTGCTACTGTTCGTAATGAAATGGATTCTGTCATCATTAGTCGGATAGTAAAAGGAGGGGCTGCAGAAAAAAGTGGTCTGTTACATGAAGGAGATGAAGTTCTGGAGATTAACGGAATTGAAATTCGGGGGAAAGATGTCAATGAGGTTTTTGACTTGTTGGTAAGTTGACTCATGTAGAAGAATAATTGACAGGTTCACAGAAGTTGTTTTCTTTGTTATTAGACCTCAATAAAATATTTTAAAAGCATTGTAAAAATAATTGTTAAGAGCCAGTATATCATATCCAGCGTAATTTTCACATGATGTAATTGTTTCCACAATATTCGTTGGTAGAATTTTATTCTTCTATGGGTACTACTGATATATAACTACTAAATGTATTTCAGTTGCCTCTGAAATCACTAATATAACTCATTAGTTCATTCAACATATATTTATTGAGTGCCTACTATGTGGTAGCTGCTAGGGAAACTAATGACAAAGTTCATCCCCTCTTGATTTTTGTTTGTTTTTTTTTTAATTATCTTCAATTCATTATTGTTTCCTTAACAATATTAGATAATAACAATGGTATAGATCTACATTATTCAGTATGATAGCTACTAGCTATTTGTTCTAGTTATTTCTATTTAAATTAAGTAAAATTTAAAATTCAGTTCTTCATTCATACTAGCTACATTTCAGATGCTTAAGACCAGTATGTTATTAGTGGCTACCATATTAAGGTATAGGAATAGGAATATGGCATTCTGCAGTTCTAGTCCACTCACCAGAATTCTTCATTATGGAAAGTTCTGTTAGATAGTGCTGGTGTAATCAGGAGGCCATTTATAGTCAACTTTTAAGGGAAATTTATAATCACTTCATATATGCCTGCAAGCCAGGTTTATATTCTTATTTACTTAACATCAGTTGTTGCAATATAATGTTTCCTATCTGCTGATGTCTGTTGAAGAATCTAAAACACCTTCACATCCTTGTTTTCACCCAGTCCTTCATTGCTAGAGCAAAGTGCCAGTGATCACTGTTTTTAGTCCTTGTTTTATTGGCTGCTATATTTAGATTGAGCACTGCTCCCTGCTCTCAACCAAAAGTTGTGATTACTGTCGAGGCTGCAGGTATCCAAACAAGGCAGGCAGTGGTGTACAGTTGTCCCTTGGTATCCATAGGAGATTGGTTCCAGGGGTCCCCATGGATACCAAAATCTCCTGATCCTTGAAGTCCTTTACATAAAATAGCATAGTATTTGCATATAACCTATGCACACCTTCCAGTATACTTTAAATAATCTCTAGGTTGTTTGTAATACCTAATACAGTTTAAATGCTGTATAAGTAGCTATCTGCAGGTGGTAAAATCAAGTTTTGCTTTTTGGAACTTTCTGGATTTTTTTTTTTTTTTTGGGGGGAATTCATGGTTGGTTGAATCCACAGATACGGAATCTGTGGATAAACAGGGCCAGCTGTACTGGAAAATAATAAAGAACCTAGCAGTAAGATTCTCTACAGTTAAAAATTAGAATGAATGACATGACAAAGATGAGGCATCTGGAAAGTAAGAATATTTGTATTTTGCATCACTTTTCTAATCCTAGTCGCAATTACTGTTTCACATTCTACTGTATTAAAATTCATGTGTGTCAGAGTAGATAACCCAGAAATGCCGTGATATCCTCCAGCCCTTCACCTTGGTATCTTCCTAAGCTTAAGCTGAATGGAAGACAAAAACCCAAACTTATAGGCTAAGTGGCTTTTTCCCCAGTGGATCAGAGGACTGAAATTGTGAAATGCCATATTCCTAGGTAGCAGTAGTATGATGGGGTCCATGAAAGGCATAATTTGTGCTTCCTGATAAAATGGGTTTCATGTTTACCTATTTTTCTAAGTCTCCTTGGGGTTCCAGAATAGTGCAGTTTAGGAACTTTGTTCATAAGATCATGGAAAGATTTTCATAAATAGAGCTTTTGAAAATAATACACTCTTCTCTTACAGTCTGATATGCATGGTACTTTGACATTTGTTCTGATTCCCAGTCAACAGATCAAGCCTCCTCCTGCCAAGGAAACAGTAGTAAGTGATTTTTTATGTTCATTATTT